GGCGCCCTGGGCCTGCACCCCGCGCCGGGGCCCCGCGGCCGGGAGCTGAGGCTGGAGGCGGCGCTGGCCGCGCTGCGGGAGCAGCTGGTGAGGAGCGGAGGGCGGCCGGGGCGCAGCTGGGTGGAAGGGGCGAGCTCAGAGGCCCGGTGCGCGGGGGAACCACGCAGCTGGGTGGAAGGGGCGAGCTCAGAGGCCCGGTGTGCGGGGGAACCACGCGCCCAGCCCGGCGCTGATTGCGCCCCGGCCCTGCCGCCGACGCGGCGGGGTGATCCTACCGAACGCGTGCAAGTCGGACTGGGCACCGCGCTGCGCCGAGATGCATCGACTCGGTTTCCTGGGTCGGGAACGTGTCTGTACACGGCCGGGCCTCATCCCCGGAGCTGGTCATCCTGCCGCGCAGCGTGACCCCGAACCGCAGCTGTGAGGCAGCATGTTGTGTTGCATGGGTCGTTGGGGTCTTGTTTGGTGCGGACTTTCTGCCACAGCATTGTCACCTGATCTGTTAAAAAGCGTGCCCCCCCCCCAGTCTGCGGGACGTGGGTGCTTTCTCGGGTACCGGTGCCACTGGGGGGGGGGGCCTCCAGGAGACCTGCATCCTGATTCTAGAACAGCTCTAGACATTGGGCAGCAATGCAGTGTTTTTTAAAGGAGAGGGAAAGCTACTGAGTTCGATGGCGTCACCTCTGTTACTCAGAGTGGACTTTTTCACAGTGGAAATTTGGATCTTCCCTTTTCGGAGTAACCTCTTCGCAAAGTCCCTGTGAGGTTGCTGCATTCCTCTGAGCTTAGAAGTGTAAGGTTTGGGATTAAAGAGCCAGAGGTCCAGTGTCTGAGGGCTCCTCCAAGACACCTGGCATCTTCTCTGGGTGTCAGAGAAAGGTGGAGACCGACCGGCTGAGGATGGACCCCAGCTGGCCGCCTCCTCCAGTTAGAGGCTCACCTGCTGCCCAGAGAGAGATGTGGCTGCTGTGGCCTGGGTGCTGCAAACTCCTTCACCCACCCAGGGACCAAGACCTCCAGCCACACACTCAACCTCCCAAGACCTCAGCCAGGCCCACTGGGCCACAGATGAGTTATTTGCATGATCCAAACCCTGGGTGAGAACCAGGTTTATTATTAACCCGGCTGCAGTAATGCTGCAAGCCCGACCTGTGAGACCTCACACTCCAGTTACCAGCAGCCTTCGGAGAGATCAGACAGGCTTTGTGTTGAATCAGCGCCCCCTCCCCAACCTCTCAACGTTGGACCAGAAGGAACATGCAGGCTTTGTCTTGAAACTTTGTTCTCAGGACAGATTGCACGATCAAAAGAGATGAGTGATTTCTGTGATTCCAGCCAGCACTTGACACTTACATTTTTCTTACTGGGAAAAGTGTAGTGATGCTACCTGTTTAATAGAGGAAACGGCGAGCCAGGTGCTTTACTGCAGTCCAGTTGAACCCTAAGGTAACTGGAGGTCTCAGCCCTCCCTCCCCCCTCGCTGACTCACCAGGCCCTCAGTTCTTTCAGGTGTGCAGAGAGGAAGAGACTCCAACCTACAGCCAGTTATCCTTCTCAAGACAGGATGGCTTTAGCTTTTCTAGGGACTTAGTATTCTGCAGATGGGCCACACCCTGCTAATTGCAGTGTCAAAAGTCACAAAAGGAACCCAGCTTACTGCTTAAAGGAATTTTGTTCAATAAGTACATTAGTGACTCTTAGGGCTGACACAAAAGAAGACACTATTAGCGCTTAGTTCTTTCTGTGCCAGGTTTCTCTACTAACGAACCCCATGCCCTCTGACCCCTGACCCCACGGTCTGCTGCAGGTGGCTGGCTGGGCAGTGGGCTGTGCCTGTGGGTGTTTTCAGTGGGACTTGTCTGCTCAGGAAGTGGCTGGCATTTGCACTCACTTAAAACGACTTAAGTAGGACATCACCCACTGCCTGGCACCAGGCCAAGAAGTCAGCCCATTCCATCTTCCCCCAGCTGCATCCAGGGAAGAGCAGTCTGGGACTGGAGGCTGGCAGGGGCCAATGTGGGGCCTCCTCTGGGAGAGCTTCCCCTATTGTCTTTGCTGGTCATGACTTGTTCTGAGAATGGCAGTGTGCAACCACTCAGTTCCCTGGCAGGCCCAGGCTGTGGCTCTGCGGGAGCAGACAACCCCGGTTCTTCAGCTGCGCACAGGGTGCCCCATGATTTCGTCCAACCGACCTGCTTGCTTTGTGAACTAACAGAGAGCAAGAGGAGGCCAGGTGGGCAGCTGCTCAAGGTCATGAGCGAGGGCCTGGCGGCCTTCTCCAGGGTCACTGTCGGCTCCATCCATGAGCCCCATGTGTGAACCAGGCCCTTCACTATTGGTTGATGGGGTTCTTTTCAACTTAGGTGTGGGGTTTGCAGAGGGGCCATCGTGGTAATTCATGCATAAATGCTTCCTTTGTACATTCTTAGCTTTCAAGGAAAGGAAGGAAGTGTCCCTTAGATATCATCTCCACATCCTGAACTGGGAGGCACTTTGAATTTTTGTCCTCTGAATATCCATAAAGGTTTTGTTGTTTGTTTTGCTGCAGAGCAGAAGTGTCGGTGGAGAAGGGGAAGTGAGCGCAGGTCAAGTTCTGTGGAATGCACCAAGTTTTAGTGGCACCCTGGATGGCAGGTCTCAGACCTGGATGGCAGGTCTCCTCAGACCTGGATGGCAGGTCTCCTCAGACCTGGATGGCAGGTCTCAGACGTTTGGTGGTCGCCAGACGTCTTCCCTTCTGGGAAACAGCCTGGGAAAAGCCCAGGATCTGCTGTGGCTTCACCATGGGGACTGTGGTTAGCTGTCTCCGGCACCAGACCTCTGACTCCTGAGCTGGGTTTGGGGAATACTGAACCAAGTGTCCCGGGGCTGCCCTGAAGTTCTGAAGTTGGCCCGAAGCCTGCAGACCAGAGGCAGGCTGAGATGACCCTGGGCTTGGTTCTGGGAAGAGTGTCTAAAGCCTGACTTTGTAGCCAGCCTTGCTCAGTCCTGGTCCCAGCAGGAGGACTGGAAGCCCCAGTTCAAGGCTGAGGCAGCGTTAACCAGGATACTGTCAATCCTGATGGTGAGTGGGCTCACAGCAAAGCAAGTCCCGAGGGTTTAACAGGGCGCTCTAGGCACTCGTGAAGACCCTCGAATCTTGAAGCCTCAGTCATTAACAAGAAACTAGCCGTTGATGCTGACTGGACAGACACTACCTGCAGATCCCAATGTGCACACAGGGGGCCAAACTTTGGAAGAGGGGAAATAGACAGGTAGCCAGGCCTGGAAAGGGATGTTTGGACTGAGAGGAGACATGGATGTGACAGAGGCACTTTATGTCTGTGGGTCCCTAGGCTTTATGACAGGGCAAAGGAATATATTTTGCTGGAAAAATCCTGGCCAGGTCCTTGGTGAGTCTCAGTGCCACTTTTGAGTGGATGGGAAGGGAAACCTGTAGTCTCTACCTCCAGGCACTCTGACAACGCCGAGCCCATGTTTCCTCAGAAAATGCATGTGGTGGGATGGTTACAGCTGATACTGTGGCTCCCGGACCTCTCACCCTCCAGGCCCTGTGTTGTTCACTAGAAGGGCAGAGCCCAGGACCTGGCAGCCCTAACAAGCCACGCTTCACCACCCACCCTCTATAGGCCAGTGAAACAGTAAAAAGCCAAGAAAGGAGTTTACCCGGTGTGTCCACACCGGGAAGAGGGACAACGAGGTTCCGCGACCCCCACAAGCCCGTCTTTGGGGTTCTGACTTGTGGTTTAGGTTTGAAGAGGTGCATATCAAGGCACTCCTGGCCAAGCTGTGCTCCCATCATCCTGCTCTCTCTGGCAAGGTGATACAAGTCATCAGAACTGAGGCAGACTGTCTCCCTGGGTACAGGCCTCCGTTCTGGATGGTGTCCAACTTTTCCTTAGCCCAGAATGAGATTCCTTAGCCCGAGTTTCAGTAGTCTGACAGAGGAGGAGGACAGGTGTCTCCAGAATATCTTTGTTTCTGCACTACCCTGAGGTGGATGCCACCATGGATTCCTGGCAAAAAGCTGAGCTTTCTGCTTTTCGACATTGACTGTTGTGTCACCTCAGGCCAGTGTCTGGTTCAACTCACCCCAGGCCCTTTGCACTGAAGTTGGGAAAAACTGTGAAGGGCCTGTCCTGGTGACCGGGATCATTACTGCCTGTGTCTCGCTGGTGATTACTCTTGCTGCCAAGGTTACTGAAGTAAGTTCCCACTAGACATGTGACCAGTCAGGTCTTCAGCAGATATACACACTACAGCATTTTATTACCTATTTACCTTAAACTTATTTTTTAATCAAAGAAAAAGTGTATGCAGCTGACCTGGAAATTGGAGGGTGCTATGTGATGGAAACGAAGAAATCGGTTTTTACCAAACACCCAGTGCTGGTTAGTTTATATATGGGTACAGAGTACACGGGCACACATACAGACATACATGTATACACACAGACACACAGTGTATACACAGATACATATACCCATGACTGTTTAAACATACAAAATAAAGTTATGTACAATACATATTATATATTATGCACAATACAACCCGTAACCACCCACTGTAGAGCTGGGGGCCGCAGCCTGGAGAACACTCACCCTCTGAGGGCAGAGCTAGCTGTGACAGGCTCAGGAGGCTCCCCAGGGTGGCTTTCTAAGTGAAGCTGGGGTTTCCTGGCTTGAAGTGCCTCAGGCCTTGCCTAGGCACTGTCTTCCCAGCAGTTAGCAGTGTCACCCAGGGAGGACAGACGGAGGGTACAGGGCCCAAGTCTTTATTCTGTCCCCTTAGAGTGCAGGGTGTACACGCCCAAGTGCTGTAGACCACAGGAATGCTACCTGAGGGACTCCTGACGAAATATGTTCTCACTGGGAACTGACAACAGATAGCATTAAATGGTTACCTGCGGTGCCACCGCAGGGTGGTGGGCAGTTTGGGATGTGCAATCTCACCGTTTTTATTCCTGCTGGGAAGTGGGGGGGTGGGGGGTGAGGGGTGTGCTGTATTTGTGTTGTGTGTGGTATATATGGTTTAGGTAGGGGGAGTGCATGGGTGTGTATATTCATGGTGTGTATGTTATATACTATATAGTGTGGATGTGTGGTGTGTATACGTGTGGTAGGTATGGTGTGGGTGTGGGTGTGTTGCTGGTGGTATATGTGTAATGGGTATGGGGTATGGGTGTGGTGGGGGCATCTGTGTGTGATGTATATAGTATATGTAGTATGTATGGTGTGTATAGTCACAGTGTGTGTATGTGAGGTGTGTATGTTGTATGTGGTATGTGTGTATAGTATGTGTAGTGTATGGTGTGTGTAGTCACGGTGTATGTACATATGCTATGTATGTTGTATTGATATGTATATATTGTGTGTAGTGTGTGAGTGTGTGTAGTCTGGGTATAGTGTATGTAATGTGTATGGTGTGTGTAGTCAGGGTGTGTGTATGTTATGTGTGGTATATATGTATATTATGTGTAGTGTGTGGATATGTGTAGTCAGGGTGTGTATATGTGTGGTGTATATGGTTTGTGTGTAGTGTGTGGGTGTGTGTAGTCTGGGTATAGTGTGTATGGTGGGTGTAGTCAGTGTGTCTGTGTAGTATGTATGCTGTGTGGTATATGTGTATATTGTTTGTAGTGGGTGGGTGTGTATAGTCTGGATGTGTATATATGTGGTATGTATAGTGTATATGGCGTTTGTAGTGTGTGTAGTGTTGGTGTGTGTTGTATATGGTGTGTGGTGTGGTAAGGAGGGATAGGATGTGGTGGGGGTGTTCATGGTATGTATGTATGTGTGCTCTGTGTGTGTGTGGCATGTTGACAGGCAAGGGGCGACAGAGCCTTTCCCATCTGTGCCAGCAGAGCCAGGGAGTTGCTTCCCACGAGTTGGAAGCAGGTGCCAGTGAGGAGGCACACGTCATGCTGTTTGGTGTTTGGGAGTTTTCACAGTAGTCATACTCCCAGCTCCACTTTGGACCTTGTTTGGACTTCTGTATTTGTATCAGCTTTCCTTTTCCTCTCTCTTTGCCTCCTAGTCACGGTTGAGGAGACAGGATGCTGGCCTGAAGACCCACTTGGACCAGCTGGACCAGCAGATAAGTGAACTACAGCTGGATGTGAGCAGGTCATCCTGCGAGGTCCCGGACAGTGACAGCAGGCCCAGCTCAGGTACAGCTGGTGCTGGACCAATGGGGAGCCCGCTGCCAGGACCCTCTGGGAAGCCGGTGGGACATGTGCAAAGTGACATTCACTGTCACTGCTCAGCCTGTGCCCTCAGCTGATCTGGAAGTTAGAAGGTCCTGGGGAGCCTGGAAAGTATATTTGACCAAAGAGAGTTTAAATAATACAAATTGATAGACAAACTAAAGCGTTATATACAAGACATGTAGATAAACTAAAGTGTTTACATATAGATACAGGAACTTAAGAGTTTATGTACAATATACATAGATACACAAACTAAAGACTTTATATACAATACACACATGTATAAATAACATACAATACACATAGATACACAAACTAAAGACTTTATATACAATACACACACATATATAAATAACATGCAATACACATAGATACACAAATGAAAGACTTTATATACAATACATATATAGTTTATATAGATATACAGATAGACAAACTAGAGAGTTTGTATACAGCACATAGTTTGTGATACATGTATAAGCACTCAGTTTATGTATATAATGTGTGTTAGAAAAGTCTTCCTTTTGATAGGCTAGGCCTCCTCATAAACTGATTTTGCTGGATCGTTGTGGAACTTGTGACCAGCCACTTTATAGACCATATACTTACATTTAAGTCAGTGTAACCCGTTAGCTAATCAGACAAGGATGTCTCTCCCTCCCTGTGCCCTGTCCTGAAGGTCACAGAGGCGTGGTCACCGATGGTTTGTGTGGCCCTGGTCACCTTGATACTCCACAGGTGGTGTCACTTAGACGTGGTCCACCCTGGGGTGTCTGGACTGCCGTGTCTCCAGGTGCTTTCCTTTTGCAGACTGGCCACGGTGCACTAGGCACCCAGCAGGCCCTGGGGCTGACTCCCGGAAGGAAGTGCCCTGTACAGTTGTACCTCCCTCATAAGGAGAGGGGAGGGTGCCTGGGGCAAAGGAAGTATCCATGCTGTGGGCAGCTGTGGGGTGCAGGTGAGGCAGGACAGTTGGTCCCATAGCCACTCACAGGGTTGCTTGAAAGAATCTGGATCACCCTTGCCCTGGGCCTGTCCCCACAGGCCTGCCTTATCTGGGGGCTCCCTCACCTTTCCGTGTCAGGACAAGCAGAAGAAAAGGGCTCCAGGTCCTCTGGGCAGAATCCACTGCTTAGGCCATGCACTGACCACTGTGTCTGTTCTGTCCAGGGTTCTATGAGTTGAGTGATGCAGGTTCCTGCTCCCTGTCCACCTCCTGTGCATCTGTCTACAGTGACTGCCTCTCCCCTTCCCTGAGCAGCTGGTTGCCTGTGTTCCAGCCCTCTAAGTCCAGGCCCGGCATGGGGGACTGGAGGCCCCGCTCTGCTGATGAGACCACTGTGCCTGCATGGAGCCCCCAGCCCAGTGGAGAGGGCAGTGGGCTCCTGCGTGGTACAGAGGACACAGGCCAACCTCGGGGCCTGTTCCGACCCAGACCAGTGTCTACAGGTGAGAGAGAGGCAGGAGAGGAGGAATAGTACATGGTGACACCTAGCCCACTGGGGACAAGGTCAACCCCCACATGAGGCAGGTGCAGCTGTCTCTGTGGTCGGCCTTTGCTCAGTGGTATAGTTTTCTTATTTAAAACGAACATCAGGAAGCTGGGGAAAAATCCCTTCAAATTTTTTGATGTACCACATTTGGAGGGAGAACCTAGGCACAAGCACACATGTAGAGTGACCCACCTTACCCTTGACTCCCTTCCCGCCTTCCTGGGGGATAAAACAATGTCATTTGGGTCATTCTGCCTACATACTCAGCTTGATACTGGCCTCAGTCCTGTCCATGGTGAGAGTCCCCAGCCTCACCATCAGGCTTGTGACTGCTAGGGGCATTCCTGCCACAACTGTCCCACTTGTGACTGCAGACATTTGTCCCTGGTGGCCTCCACATCCTGGTTAAATGAGGACACTGAGCTGACTGCTCCTGGTCACTCTCATTGAAGATCAGGGATCAGTTTGCACAAGAGCTGGGCCTCCACATGTGCCCAGCCCCAGGTGCAAGCCTGGGTCTGCAAGGCTAGGTGTGAACGTTTCCTGGTGGCCTCAGCTCCTTAGTGGCAGCATGCTTTGCTGCTGTGAGGGAGACACGGGCAGCAGGGACTTGGCGTCTTCCTGTGTTCATGTGCTTTTTACTTGGTCTTGTTCCCCAGGTGACCTTGAGAGAGTCCTCCCTGCTGACCTGGGACTCCAGAGAGCTGGTGCTGATACTGCATCCACTTCCTCCTTCTTCCACGGGATTGAGGTCCCAGCCCATGCACTGGACCCCAAGTACCAGTGTGACCTGGTGGCTAGGGGTGGCCAGGAGGTGTACCCATACCCTAGTCCCCTACATGCAGTGGCTCTGCAGAGCCCCCTCTTTGCTCTGCCTAAGGACGCCCCGAGTCTTGATAGCCAGGCTGCTCTCCAGAAGCCTCCTCTGTCCCCTTCAGCTGAGAGCCGGACAGGGACTGGGCCCATCTGTGAGCTGGGCTCAGCAGAAGCCTACATTGACAGGCTGCTTCGTCTCCGTCTCCAAGGCCGAGGGACCCCCCTGAGGGGTGTGGTGGGGGAGCAGGGGCTCCTGGGAAGTAACATGTCCCCTTTCCCACAGAAGTTCTGTGGCCAGAAGTCAGGTGGTGGAGGTCAGGTGGCCTGCGAGACTGTTCAGGAAGGCACAGTGCTGAACAGGGGCAAGGACAGCCTCAGGCAGCCAGGGCCTGCACCCCTTGTGGACACTGAGTCCCTCAGCGGCCCCCTGAAGGAGGAAAGCACACCTCGGAATGCCTGTGTCCGTGGAGAGAACACTGGGAGCCCCTCTCCCTGCCCCCAGGCCCAGCAGCCTCACAGTGACCCTGGCCAAACAGAAGTCCTGTTGCCATCCAGGCCGCTGGGTCCTAAGAGCCCCTCCCTGGCCCCAGAACCCTTTGCCCACCCACCGTGCACCAGTGGTGAAACCTTCCCAATGAGGCTAAGGATGGGCCCCCCCCAGAGCAGGGCCGTGAAGGTCAGGAGGAGAGTCAGCGACAAGCTACCGAGGCTGGGGAAGCGGATGCCGCCTCGACCTGAGAGACAGCGGGACATCCAGGCTGCTTCCCGGCCCCCGGAGTGGGATTCCTCACCTGAGCCCCGCGGGGGAGGGCTCAACAGAAGGCCCACGCTGGCCAGGGAGCCTCCTGGACGCTCTTGCTCCGAATCCACCCTCTACCCTGTGCCCTTTGTCCCCCTGGTGGTAGCCCGGCAGGATGGTTATGGGGCATCTTCCCAAGCTCTGTTCCCAGGAGAGGCGGCCCCCGTCAACTCGGCAGCCGGGAGGAAGCAGCGCAGGTGGCGGTCCACTGTGGAGATCTCCGCCAAGGCCCACTTAGTCGGCTGTCCTGGACCCGGCTTGCGGCCCCCCAGGTCCCCCACCAGGAGAGCTGGTGGTCCCTGGGTCCAGAGCAGGCCCACACTGGCCCGTCAGGACGCCTGTGTGAGGAGCGAGTCAGACCCCTCGGAGCACTCTGCAGAGAGCACCTCGCTCTTGCACTCCACCATCGCAGAGACCAGCGAGGAGGAGGCCAGCGACCACACCGCCAACCGTTTTGGGGACGAGTCCAGTGGCAGTGACTCCGAAGTCTGTGTCCAGGGCAGAGGTGGTGGCCTGGCAATGGGTGGTGCAGAGACCGGGCAGAGGGAGCCAGTCTGGCCTCGGGCAGTCCCCCAGCAGCACCCACAGCTCTCAGGAGGCACCAGACCACCCCTGCCCCCTGTGCCCAAACTATGCCGCATCAAGGCCTCCAAAGCCCTGAAGAAAAAGATCCGCAGGTTCCAGCCAGCAGCCCTGAAGGTCATGACCATGGTGTGAGCCAGCGTTCCAGGACAAGCCTAGAAGCCCAACAGGCGCTGGGCCCTTCTGTCCGGTGTGAGGCGCAGGCTGGCTGTGGTGCCACCTGCCAGTTTTCTTAGATTTCTATGTCACACTGACTGTGAGGTGATTGTCCCTCCAATCCAGGTTCATACATTTCCATTGCATGATCCTGGCCACAGCTTTGGTCCCCATCACACTGTGGTGTGTGATAAGAGGTCCTCTAATAAGACACTACACTCCTCCCTGGGCATCTAGACAGCATCATATCATACTGGGGAACCTGTATTTGAATCTGAACTCCATGCCACAATCTAACATGAATAAACACCTGCACTAAGGCTTTATCTTTGCAAACAAAAGCACTGTGTTTACTTCTGTTCTTCAACAACCCCCCCCCCATAAGGCCTGCTTCCCTTCTGTCAGGAGACTGGGAGAGAGGGAGGGAAAGCATTTTGAGAAGACTCCGAACCTGGGTGCAGCACAGGTGAGTTGAACAGAAAAGTGTTCTGCACAAAGTACTTTTCTGAAAATGTTTATCTGTTGCAAAGAAATTACTGTCCACTTTCCAAGAATAAAAATGGGTTTTCAGCTCAGCTCTTCAGTGCCACAGTTCACAAGGTAGCCTCTTCCCAGGCTAGTCACAGAGAGGAGAAAAGGATGTAGCTCACGGGGTGCCCCTCCCTGTGACATGCACACTTGGCAGAAGCTCTGGGAAGGAGATAGGAAAACGGTGTGAGAAGACTTTGATGGCGGCTTTATGCTGAGGCCTAAATATTCCTGTAACAAATGAAGAAACTGGAAAATTGAGTAATAGTTTAGAACAAAGAAATCAACTTTCCTTGCGAGGAAGGGGATGGAGGGAGGGAGGGAACTGCAGCTTTTGAAGGGAAGGAGAAAACAGGCTTTCTATCTCCCAAGTGGCAGCATTTCAAAGGGGCCAAGGGAGAATCTCTGCAATGCAGACATGTCCATTATCTAGTTAGACATCCTGCCTGTGACTGGGTCTTTCTGCACTTTGATTTGAAGCTTAAAGGTCTATTTAAGGCCAGTCATAGCTGGGCGTTTTATTGTAAAAGACAACACTTTTTTCACGACTGTGACAAAATGCCTGGCAAACATAAGGAAAGGTTTGTGTGGGTTCACAGTTTCAGGGCTCCATCCGTCATCTTGGGGAAGGCATGGCAGACTGCTCAGCACGTATCAGGACAGGTCAGGAAACAGCAAGACAGGACATGGCCAGAGATGATACATCCCAAAGAACAAGCCTTCATGACTCAACTTCCCCAGATACCCCATCCCCCAAGTTTTCAGGTTCTCCCCAAAATACCACTAGCAGAGGGCCAAGGGTTCAAAATATGAGCCTGAGAGAGACATTTCAGATCCAGACCAGAACATTCCACCCTCATGATCACCTCATTGTTAAAGTGCATTTACTCCAGTTTTGAAAGTCCCACAGCCTTAACAGTTCCCACAATGCTCAAGTCTTAAATCCAGAGAATCAAGGCAACAACTTCATTGTAAGTCCCTGAGAAATAAAAAGAAAGTTATATCCTTCCAACATCCAAGGCACACTGTAAACGTTTCTCTCCAAGAGAGAGGAATAGGGACGGTGTGGGGGGGCGGGGGGGGCGTGAGACCAAAGCAAGGCTAACCCAGCGGAAAGACATGAAATCCTGTAGCTCTGTGTCCATCTTCCAGGGCTCATGGTATCACTGTGTGAGCGCCAACAGCCTTGGGCAGCCACCATCTACCTCTGACTTTGCCTTTTGCACCCACCTGGCCTCTCTCTCTGGCTGGCTCCACTCGTTACCTGCAGTTTTCCTTAGCACACGTTTTGCGTTCCCAGAAGCTCCATCATCCTGGGGTCTCCATTGTGGCTTCACCCTCATAGCCCCATCGAGGCTTCCTTCTGGGAATCCGATACTGCTACATGCTGCCTGGCCTCACAGGCTTGGCTTTACCATCTCGGTGGAAGCCTCAAAGTCTTCCCCTGTGCATGCCCCCAGAGCCAGCAACGTGTGGATGCCACCAGCTCGAGACGCTGTCAGGATCTTTGAACCAGAAATGCAGCAGCCATGAGTGGCTCGGTGGCTGAATCCAGGTAAACCCTTCCCTGGGCAGCCCTGCATGACCAGGGCACCCTGGAGGCCCACGCTTTACAACGGAAAGGCTTTCAAATGAGTTTATACCCTAAGGCCTGTGATGGGTGAGGGTCTCTCCAGTTCCTAAAATACCCTCAGGACATCTTTTCCATCGTCCCTGTGAAAACTGCTTGACTTCATTTTAATGGCTCTAACCTTTACATTTTCTGAGTCTTAAATTTTAAGCATGCTCCTTTCGTGGCAAAATTGCATGTTTTCTGCATCTTTTGCTGTCTTTGTTCCAAATTGTTACCAAAACCTGGGTAAAAAGCAGGTTTTAGCTACGGCCCCACCCAAATGCTGTGCTGTCTTGGACCTCCCTTCGTGAAAGTGCAGTGCTTCTGGATTCAGCCTCATTCATGGTTTCAGAAGGTGACAAATGTAGGTAAATTATTGGCCAGAATATAACATGAATTATGCATTCGTTACTTTTCTGTTGCCATGATAAAACACCATGACCAAAGGAACTTATAAAAGGCAGAGTTTATTTGGCTTAAGATTCAGAGGGTTAGAGTCCATAATGGCAGGGGAGGCATGGAGGCAGAGGTGGCTGGAACAGAAAGCTCAAGTGGGCACAGGAAGCAGAGAGTGACTGGAGATCCCACAAGGCTTAAGAACACTCAAAGCTCACCTCCAGTGACGTGCTTCCTCCAGCAAGGCCGCACCTCCTAAAACCTCCCAAACCAGCGCCACCAACTGGGGACAAAATGTCCAAATACTTGGAGCCTATGGGGGACATTCGCATCCAAACCACCATAAATTGCATTTAGTCCAGTTCCCAAAAGTCCTTGTTTCCACTGAAACCTCATGAGCACAGCCTCCACTGTCTGCACTCCCATCAGCATTCTGGCTTTGCAAACTCCCCCTAGCATCTCCCAGTAAGCTCTGCTTACAGCAGTCCAGGGTGTTTCTAACCCACATCTCCATTTTTCTTCCACCTCATGAGCACAGCCTCCACTGTCTGCACTCCCATCAGCATTCTGGCTTTTCAAACTCCCCCTAGCATCTCCCAATAAGCTCTGCTTACAGCAGTCCAGGGGTTTCTAACCCACATCTCCATTTTTCTTCTGAATTCCTCCTACTAATCAGTTCCAAATGCCCTGGAACCACATAGGTTTAGTCATAATAACAACCCCACTCCTGATACCAAAATCTGTGTTAGGCTTCTCTGGAGGGACGGAACCAATACAATCACCAGATTGGCTTACATAATGGGAGGTTGTAGTCCAACAAAGGCTGATTGTATGCCAGAGAGACAGACAACCCATAGCTGTTTAGTCCAAAAAGCCGAAGGCCTTGGCAGTTTCATGTGAGGCTGAAGGACTAACACCCTGGGAAGTCGCTGGTGTGAGTCGGCATTGGAGGACTGAAGAAGCAGGGGTCTGAGGTCAGCAGCGGTAGATGCACCTTTTCAGGAAAAGCGGAGTGTGTGCACACTGGCTGGCTTCCTCTGTCTGCCGTTTGCTCCATCAGAGCCCCCAGTCTGTTGGATGGTATTACCCACATCCAGGGTAAGTCTTCTGCCTTCAGTCTCATGTCAGTCTGTCCAGAAGCACACTCACAGACACACCCAGAGGTGCGCTTTCCTAACCACCTAGGCATTTCTCAATCCAGTCCAGCAATCGAGACCAACCATCACAATATTACACTGGATGTTGTTAAAATGTCTAATTCTCTGCCTTGTTGATCCTGGGGTGATGGGAAGCAGTGGTCTGGCAGAACCTTTGCCTGTGAGACAGGTCTCAGTCCTGACCTTGTCACCTGGGCCTGTGTCCAGGCCTAGGATTGCCGTGATCTGCATCCTGCTGGCTTCCTGGTGGAGCTGCTCAGACATCTGTCTTCCTCTGCATGCCACTTTGATTTTCCAACCATTCAGGTGCCAATGTACTACCAAGGCTGCATTGTAGTTTAGTGAATGTGCACCCATCTGCACAGATGTGTAAGCTAACCATGAAAACCACCCAGCTGCAAATAAACTCTGTGTGCAGGGAGGTCCTTGGTGAACTGAGATGAAGCCCCCACCACAGCCTCCTCCTTGGGCCTGTCCATCCTCCCTGTCGCAGCAGTGTGTGTGTCTGTTTATCTCTCTCCATCCTGTTCCTCTCTCTCTCTCTCTCTCTCTCTCTCTCTCTCTCTCTCCCCTACCTCTCTGTTCTAGTTACTTTCTATTGCTGTGATAAAAACAGGGAGGAAAGGGTTTATTTCATCTTACATCTCCTGTGTCATCACTGACGGAGCCCAAGGCAGGAACTCAGGGCAGGAACCTGGAGCACAGACCAAGGAGGAGTGCTGCTCACTGGCTTGCTCCCAATGCTCAACCTGCTTTCTTATACAATACAGGACCACCTGTCCAGGGAAGGCACCACCCACAGTGTGACATCACTCAACTGCAACAATCAAGGAGATGTGCCACAGATATGACCACAGGTCGGTCCAATGGGTGCAATTCCCCAAACGAGGGTCCCTCTCACAGGTGTGTCACATTGACAGCTAAAGCTCTCCAGCACACTCTCATAAAAGAAATTATTCAGTGAGGCTTGTTAAAGCCTAGTGAGGAACCCTTCACTCAGGGGCCAATACGGTGTGGGGAGTCAGATGAGGCTGAACTCCTAATGCTGCACAGGCCAGCAGAGGAACAGCTGGGGACCCTGGGGACCACCTGTGGATCAGAGTTCTGTGGAGTGGTGGAGCTGAGGGTCCAGAGGGGGTGGTTCTTGATAAGTTAACTGGTCAGGACTGCGATTTACAAGGACATCCTCAGGTGTTTGGAGAAGCTCCTGGAGGCTGATCAGAAACTGGCCTCACAAAGGTCGTGCCTTTCAGTCCGCACTTCTGACTCCTGAGCTCAAACTTACACTTTGATTTTCTGGAGGACGGAAATTCACTCCTTGCCTCTGTTTTGTGTGCTCGCAAGGCAGGGTGGAGTTAGTGAGTGTAACGTGGTAGATCCCCCAGGACCCTCTCAGGTTCTCTGGCCCATCTGATCCTCATCCAGTACCAGACAGGGCCGCAAGGCCCGCTTTCCTGCCAGGAAGAACATGACCCATGGTACCGTAGGACTCAGAGTGGCCAGTAGGTTGGGAGTGTTGGAAATGGGGACCGGGCCTTTCTGGATAGACAGGGTAAAAAATCCAGGTGAGGATAAGTGGACAGTCTGAGCACTCAGGCAGGGGGGAGCACAGTACCATGTAGAGGTGCAGGTCAGATACCAAT